AACTCTGAGATACCACCTTACGCCTGTCAGAATGGTTAAGATCAAAAACACTGAAGACACCTTATGCTGGAGAGGATGTGGAGCTAGGGGAACTCTCCTCCACTGCTGGTGGGAATGCAAGCTTGTACAACCACTTTGGAAATCAATATGGCGCTTTCTTAGAAAATTGGGAATCAATCTCCCCCAAGATCCAGCTATACCACTCTTGGGCATATACCCAAGAAATGCTCAACCACACCATAAGAGCACTTGTTCAGCTATGTTCATATCAGCATTGTTTGTAATAGCCAGATCATGGAAACAACCCAGATGCCCTTCAACTGAAGAATGGATAAACAAAATGTGGTACATATACACAATGGAATACTACTCAGCAGAGAAAAACAATGGCATCATGAGGTTTGCAGACAAATGGATGGATCTAGAAAAAATCATCCTGAGTGAGGTAACCCAGACTCAGAAAGACAAACATGGTATGTACTCACTCATAGCAGGATACTAGACATGAAACAAGGATGACTTGTCTGCTACTCACATCACCAGGGAGGCTACCTGGAAAACAGGACCCCAAGAAAGACACAGGGATCGCCCAATGACAGAGAAATGGAATGAGATCTACATGAACAGCCTGGACATGAGTGGGGGTAGTGAAGGGCGAGGGTCGAGGGAAAGAGAGCTTGAGGGAGCGGGAGATCCCAGCTGGATCAACAACAGAGAAGGAGAACAAGGAATAGGAGAACATGGCAAATGAAGACCACATGAGAATAGGAAGAAGCAAAGTGCTAGAGAGGCCCACAGAAATCCACAAAGATACCCACACAACAGACTGCTGGCAATGGTCGAGAGACAGCCCGAACTGACCTACTCTGGTGATGGGATGGCCAAACACCCTAATTGTTGTGCTAGAAACCTCATCCAACTACTGAGGGATCTGGATGCAGAGATCCATGACTAGGCCCCGGGTGGATCTCTGGGAGTCCAATTAGCGAGAATGAGGAGGGTTTATATGAGCGAGAATTGTTGAGACCAAGGTTGGATAAAGCACAGGGACAAATAGCCAAATGAATGGAAACACATGAACTATGAACCAATGGCTGAGGGGTCCCCACTGGATCAGGCCCTCTGAATGGGTGAGACAGTTGATTGGCTTGATCTGTTTGGGAGGCATCCAGGCAGTGGGACCGGGTCCTGTGCTCATTGCATGAGTTGGCTGTTTGAAACCTGGGGTCTATGCAGGATTGTTTGGCTCGGCCTGGGAGGAGGGGACTAGACCTACCTGGACTGAGTCTACCAGGTTGACCTCAGTCTGTGGGGAAGGCTTTGCCCTGGAGGAGATGGGAATGGGGGGGGGGTTGGGGGGAAGGTGAGGGGGACGGGAGGGGGGAGAACAAGGGAATCCGTGGCTGATATGTAGAAATGAATTGTATTGCAAAATAAATTAAAATAAAATAAAAAAAAGAGTAAATTCCAGAAAAACTTGCCTTATGCAGTTAAGGAAACCCTCAATAACATATCTGATGAAGATGTAATCTAAAGATCTTTGAGTTCAATGACAGCATGTTCAACAAAGAAAATTCCAGGACACTCAAGCTTCTGCAGAGAAGGAACTGTGGAAAACAGTAGGCTGGTGAAGATGTAGTTGAAAAGGGAAATATGTTTCAGTCCAAAAAACAGTAGAACTGGGCAACTTTGGCCATGTAGTACTGGTATTAAGGTCAATGATGAAACAAATAGATAATGTAGTTTTCCACTAAGATCAAGGGAAGCCACTGAGGGCAGGAAACTTTCAGGGAGGCTCCTGCATTGAGACCTAGTTAGCCTAGTTAGGCCACTATTTGAAACTGTGAAGTTGCAGCCTACTTTGTCTTGGAGATGCCAAGGATGCCAAGATGTTGGAGATGCCAGAATCATGGGATACCCTGAGGAGAGCTGCTAACAGAGAGTAGAACCAGCACAAGAGAGAGAACTGTTTTGCAATCATAAAGATGAAAAGACTTGGAGACCTGAAGAACACTTTAACATCAGACATGGAGATGAAGAGTTTGGACTTTGAACAGCTGATTTTTGGTCTTTCATTGATCCAATATTTCCTCACTATCCTACCTTTCCTCCACTTTTGAAGAGTAATTATATCCTGAGCCATTTAATGTTGGAAGTATGTGGTCTTTTTTTGAAATTTTGATTTTATTGTAAACTAAGTTACAGTTAATGGATTGCATGAATCTCAGAAGAGATTTTGAAAACTGGACTTTTTAAAACACTGTTGAGACTGTGATAGAGTATGAAATCAGACAGAATGCATTTTGAATTGTCATGACAACAAGGCTATGGGGGCCAGGGAATGGAATGTGATTATTCGAATAAGTATGGTGCTAAGGACTTATGTGATTGAATGCTTGGATTATAGTAAGTGGCATTATTAGTAGGTGTGGCCTTCATGGAGTGGGTTGGCCTGGTTGGAGGAAGTGTGTCACTGTTGGGGTTGGCCTTGAGGTCTCATGTGCTCCAGCTATGCTGGCTAAGTTCACTTCCTATTTCCTGGGAATCAAGGCGTAGAACTCTGAGTTACCTCTCCAACACCATATCTCCCTACATGCTGCCATTTTTCTCACAAAGAAGAAAATAGACTAAATTTCTGAAACTGTGAGCCAGCCACAACTAATTCTTTTCTTTTATAAGAGTTGCCTTGGTCATGATGACTCTTTATAGCAATAGAAACAATAACTAAGACATGTTATTATTATGACAGGGTTATTGTCATGCAGCTTTGTATTTGCTTGAACTAAGCAGACCTAACTAGTTTTCCACAATGATATAGTGACATTCACAGATAATGCTAGGCTATGGATTTCTTGGTTTATCTATAATCATGTCCAAGTTTGTTTTATGAATCCTTTTTCTTTCACTTTTTGTTAATTTTTATTTTTGTTTTGTATTTAATTATCTTAAAATTTGCTGATTTATTTATGACTTTTTAACATTTACTCTTTTGTTTGACCCAGACCTTCATCTCTCCATCTCCTGCTCTTATTCCAGCATAGCTGTTTTACAATCATTATTCTTCTATCTTTACTCATATCATATGTTTTCTTACCTTCACCAGCCTCTTATAGAGGCTCCTTTTAACCATATTGTGGACTCTTTTCTAGTTTTCTGGGTTTAACACATTCATTCCACATAAACACGTGTTTCTAAACAACTATAAGAATGAAACCATGCTGAGACAGAGCATATACTAGTGATTCCTGGGCCTGCATTACCTCACTTAACAGAATACTTTCCATTATTTTGCTGAAGCCATTTCCTAGCGTGTTCTACATTGCCAGTGCATGGAGGAGGAGAGACTCCTAGTATCTGGTAGTTCCAATGGTCTCAGCTCATCTACTCACTTTGTTTTAACTTCTTAAGATTCCAAGATTCACTGCCAATTCTACATATTCTTGATTGTTCAGCTGACCATCTCACATGGCTGATGAGTATGTGGAGTAAGAATGTCCTTCCTATGGTTGCTTGGTTCAACTTGGTACTGATTCAAAGCTTCTTCTGCCTACTTCTTCAAGGGGACCTCACTCCACTTAGAATGATTTTACATGTATACTCCTGCAGGAATAAAATATAGTGTCCTGAGAGTTTCCTCCCTCTGAACTGCACTGATGGACATTCAAATACACTGTATTCTTTCCTACCATTTCAACACTAGACTAATGAGTTGAACATGATTATGTCAGACACATTTTTAATAGACATTAAAGATTTTGCCTAGTTAGCATTCATCAGATCTTGTCCTTCTCCTTGCAATTTTTGCTGGCATATTTTGCCTATTTTCATTCTTTTGTGTATTGTGTAAGATTTCATCATAACAGATATTCCCTTATCTGCTATAGCCCTGTCATGAGTACATATTTGTGTGTGTGTGTGTGTGTGTGTGTGTGTGTGTGTGTGTATGTGTGTGTGTGTGTGTGTGTGTGTGTGTGTGTGTGTATTTATGTGATATGGTTTTTCCGAAACCTATTTCTTAATTTAATATGATGCAAGTTATCTCAAGAACCATCATTCTAATGCATCATATAATTTTAATAATTTTTTAGGTATGATACAGACTAAAGACCTAAAGATCACTCAGCATGACCACAGTCAAAATTGAGAGTCAGTACTAAGTGGGCTTGGTGACTACATGGAGAGAAGTACTTTTCCCAGAGCAGCCTTAAATGCATTTACAAGGTGCTGTTATGGGAAAAAAATGCCAGAAATCTATATCTTGTTTGACAGTTGGAAGGAGGAAGTAACACAATCAAGAAGATTAATAGAAGCTAGAAGTAGGGCATTAATTTGCACATTTTGACCCCACAGTTTCTAGAACAGGTCTGGGTACTTTATAATGGAGGGGGTAGAAAAAGGGGTGTTAGTTTCAGCCTAACACGAAGATGGCTCCACCCATGATAAGATGAAGGAAACTTTACCTGCTCACAAGACCATACATCTATTCTTAGTGGTATTATAAACTTCTCATTACTTTTATTTCGATTCTAGATGAGATATACATTAAGAATTGAAATATTTAATGCTTGTGATCATTATTGAAGTTGTTTTCTATTATAACATGACTAGCAAATCTGAATATCTTCTAGAAGGCTTGCATTATGTTTGTTTGTATGGGCTGTTACATTTTATTGTTCCTCACAGGTGAACACCATGTTGTCTTGCATGACCATTTTCTCTGAAACTTGATGGATCTCCTTTCATCATTTTGTACATTGTGAGGTATTATGTAATCTCACAGTAACATACATGGGAAGTAACTACTCCTGTCAAAAATTTGGGATGAGGTTTCTTTAAGTGGTCAGGAATAGCCTTGATCTCCTGAGATTAAAGGAACCTTTGCTTCAGTCTTTGGAGTTGGTGCATGGAATAAAGGCTACTTCCTCCATCCTAGGCTATAAATATTTGTCATTAATTATGCTGAGAATTAGCAGGGCCATATTCTAAAAGAAATTTTGCTGAATCACAAAATGGACTTCTGGAATCTGGCAATCAGAATCACTTTCTTATCACAAACTACAACTGGAATTCTGGGAAATTTCTCTCTTATTGTGTACTATCTAGTCCTTTACTATAGAGAATGCACATTAAAGCCCACAGATTTGATTATCATGCACCTAATGGCAGCAAACGCCATAATCATTCTATCTTCAGGAGTGCCCCACACAATGAGAGCTTTTGGGTTGAAAGAGTTCTTGAATGATTTTGGATGCAGGTTCCTAATATACATTCAGGCATTTGGACGGGGTGTGTCAATTGGTACCACTTGTCTCTTGAGTGTCCTCCAAGCCATGACCATCAGTCCCAGGGAATCCTTTTGGAGGGATCATAAAGTCAAAGCTGCAAAGTACATTGACTGCTCCATTGCCCTCCTCTGGGTCTTGTACTTGTTGATAAATTTTGTCTTCTTTATGTACCCTTTTATCCAAATGCATAGCAACAATGTGACAGGAAAACGAGACTTTGGATACTGCTCAGTTGTAGGGAGAGATGAAATCAGTGGCTCACTCTATGCAGCATTGCTTGTGTGTCCTGAAATCTTCTTTTCCGTGATGATCACCTGGTCCAGCAGCTCCATGACTGTCATTCTGTACAGACACAAGCAGAGTGTCCAACACATCCGCAGCACTCGTGGTTCCAGCAGAACCTCTCCTGAGTCCAGAGCCACCCAGAACATCCTGGCCTTGCTGGCTACCTTTCTGTTTTTTTATACCCTCTCTTCCATTTTACGAGGCTGCATTGCTGTTGTGCATAATCAAAATTGGTGGCTTGTAAATATCAACAGATTCACTTCTCTGTGTTTTCCATCTTTTGGACCCTTTGTTCTTATGAGTCATTATTCTATTCTGACCCGATTCAGTTTTGTATGGATGAGGAATAAGACCTCTTAATCTTATAAGTATTTACATAATATGTTTTGCTTTGTAACTGGTTGTTTAGTTGCCCATAACCCTCAAAACTTTGATACACAGAGTTAAGTGGGTAACACATAATCTTTCTAAGATTAACTAAGATGAGTATGGGAATTTTGTAATCTGGTTGAATCAGCAATTTGGATGAGATAATCATAGTTTCTGAGGTCCGTTATGCTCTTCAACTTGCAGCTGGGAGAGTCTTCCTATTGCCTATAGATGTTTAAAGGAGCCAGTAAAAAAAAATCTTGTCAGTTAAGCTCCACTTCTTACTTTCTTACTGTCAGGGTATCTTGGCTGCTTGATGATTTCACAGACATCACTATGTACTACGTTGTAACAGCAAGGAAAACTGAAGCTATAGCTGACCATGGATTTGTTCTTCATGGGGTACTGGTCCCATCACAACTCTTTAGCTTTCACCAATTCCGAAAAAATCATATTATTATCTTTCACCTCATATAGAAATCAATTCAAATTGAATGGTGGTTTTGACATGATCTTGAATTTTGTTTGCCAGTATTTTATTGAGAATTTTTGTATCATCGGTGATATTGACCTACAAATTTTCTTCGTTGTTATTCTGTCTTTATATGATTTGGCATCATAGTAATGCTTTGGGCTTCACCAAAAACTTTTGGGAGACATTAATAAAATCATTATGAACACCAGTTTTGTGGTTTCTAAAAAAGCAAAATCAAACAACTATTGACTCTGGTATTTCAGTTATGGGCATATACCCAGAGAACTCCATATCATACCATAGAGATAGCTGTACATCCATGTTCACTGCTGCTCTATTAACTAGAAATAGAAATATTTACTATTTATTAGATAAGAAATTTGTAGGGATCTACATATCCATAAACAGATAAAATGGTACTTAAGTTTGTGTTCCTATGTAAAATGGACTAGTATTTGATGACAGTAAATGATGAAATCACATGCTTCAGCATATCTATCTTAACTCTTCCCTAGTTCAGTTAAATGTACATAATTTGCGACTCCTTGGCCTGTGTTCTTCTGATTGACTATTTCATTGCAACTTTTTAATGCTTTTAATTTTGAGTTCATTACAATAAACTGATCTTAGTTTAAAATGAAACAGCATCTCAATATTTCCTAAGATTCAGGGATATTTTCACATATAGCCATCAGTAAATGTAACACATCACACAGATGGACTCAAAGACAGAAACCACATGATTATGATATTAGAAGCCAGAAAGTATTTTTTTTCCTTTTTTTTAACATTTCATTGAATAAAGAGTCTACAAAAGATCCACATTCTGGTCCAGGATTTTCTGCCTCAGACACAGAGAAGAAAAAAAAAGGATCCTGTCCATTGCCAATAAGCCTGAGTGGGAGACAAAGATTCACATTCTGGTCTGAGGGTACTACAATGTGCCAAGCGGATGGGGTATTTTATGGTGAGCAAGTATATGGTACTATATGGTGCGGTATGGGAGAGAGAGATAGAGGGAGAGGGGAAGAGAGAGAGAGAGGGAGAGGGAGAGAGAGAGAGAGAGAGAGAGAGAGAGAGAGAGAGAGAGAGAGAATGGTTTATGCCCTGTGGAGAGAGGCAGATTTGACGAGGTGAAGGCAGTGAGGATGGGCTGTGGTGGGTGGCTTGTTTGCCACCTGCGGCCACAGTGCTGTTGGAGTCTGAGTTACAGCCAAGGTCTATGTCTATGCCAATGGCCCTGCAGTAACCATGGACTGTGCTGATGTCTGTGGTTCCTGTTTTAGTGAAGGCCAAAAGAATAGGGCTGCACAGAGTTAGACCCACACATCACTGGCTGCAACAATAGGAGCAACTGGTCCTACCCCTCCTAGGCTAAAGCACTTGGGAAAGCAGGCTTTGTACCTTGACTGGGCAGCATGACTTGTCTGAACCTGCTGGCAGGCCCTTGGGTGCACTGGCCCTGAGTGCATGGAAGAGGGAGGGCTGGTCCTGTCCCCCTTGTCTGCTCTATGGTGGTATGGGCAAGGGAAAGATGCCCTCTCCCTCACCTCTGTCAGGCAGGAGAGGTGACCATGCCCCTCAAAAACTGCAGCACTAGGGAAAGAAGACCCTGTACCTCTCCAAGGCAGCAGAGTAGAGCTGATCCTGTTGACAAGGGCACAGGTGATCCAACCCCAAGAATGTGGGAATGGGATATCTTGTCCCAACCTTCATCTGCCATATAATGGTGTGAGGGAGGGAGTGATATCTTCCCACCCCATCCCTCACTACCTATGGCGGATGGGAGAGCTGTCTCTGAGATCATGAGAACAGATAAGCTGACCCAGTATATCACTAGCTGTAGCACTAGAACGAATGGGGACCGAATCTTGTTTGGGCAATATGGTAGAGGTAACCCTCCTGGCAGTGGTGCAGGTGAGCCTGGCTCAAGAATGTAATTATGAGAGATCTTTTCCTTCCCCTAATCTGTTGTATGGTGCGGTGAGCAAAGGACAGAATCTGCACACACACCTTTCTAGGGCTGTGGCACGTAGGAGTGCTATCTCTGAGGTTATGAGAAGAAGAGAGCTGGCCCTGCCTCTCACCTGATGCAGCACTGGACAAAGTGGCCCCTATACCTACAACACTAGCCCTGGTAGTGTATGTGTAGGTGAGCAGGCCCTTAGAGCAGGACCTGATCCTTTCTACTTACTATATAGCACTGGTGAAACAGTCAGGTTGGTGCTGGAGAGCTGATCCTGGAGTTGAGGATGAAGGAGAGCTACTGGGATAACCAATCCAGCAGTAATCCAGGACTATGCATTGTCCATCCCATCATCCACCACACCTATGACCCACTGGAGCAAGTGAAGGGGCATGAAGCCATGAAGACACAAAGTTGCAAGAATTCCATGATACAGGACAACACCAGGATATCCAAGAGGAGCCCCAGTGAGTGCCCAGTGTTAATGATGTAACAAAAACCAGATTCCAATGGTATATCACACACCAGAGGCCAGTGATGTAGGAAAAATCAGAGGCCAATGATGTAGGATAAATCAGAGGCCAATGATGTAGCAAAATCCAGACCAATGTTGTGTTGCAATGAACACTTGCAAGTAATTATATAGGCACTAATTGTATACTGTGTGACTCACTGTGTCATACTATAGCTTCCATGACAAAATTTTTGTTTTCTTTTTAAATATTATTTTATTTCATCCTGGGGGAGGTTGCAAACATAGAGGTTGGATAGGAAGGGATGGGGGCATGAGTGGGATCAAGATGAGTGATGTGAAATCCACAAAGAATCCATAAAAAATTGAATTGAAAAAATAGAAAATAGCTTCTAATCTCATCCAATACATCCTGATTGCATTTTCACTGCCCTTGACAGCTGGAAATTCTCCCCACATCTTCCATTCCCTTTCTGTTATTAGGAAATAAAAGGCTTCTAAGACATCATGCAAACAGAACAGAATAAAATATAATAAGATAAAACAAAAACCATCACATGGAAGATAGACAAGGCAAACACACAATAGTAAATAGCCCAAGAGAAGGCACATGAATCTGAGATCCACTCATTCACATATCAGGAATCCCACAACAACACTAAACTGAAAGATATAATATGTACACAGAGGACCTGGTGCAGACCTGGGCATGCCCAGGGCTTTTTCTTTCAGTCTCAGTTAGTTCATAAGAGTTTTCTCAGTTGACTTAGAGGACCAGGTTCTCCTGTGTCATCCATTCTCTCCAGCTCTATATCCTCTTTCTACCTCCAATTCATCAGGATTCCCTCCAATCTGAACACAAGGAGAAGATGGAGACAGCCCATTTGCCAGCCCTGACATCAGAAGTTCTTTTAACAAAAATCCGACAGCCTTTCATCATAAATAATATGAACTTAATAAAACCCACTTAATAAATGTTTTTAATTAAAAGACCATCTAAAATTTGAACAGTATGTGTGCGATTGGGTTGGGAAGTTATCTAATATATCCCTTGCTGATTTTCCATTAACTACGTAGTGAAGGCTGTCCTTGAAGTACAGGTTGTGATGTTTATCACTGCTAGATCAGGAGTAGGCATGGATTTTCTTGCTTCAGACAAAACAAGCAATCACAATTATTATGATTTACTTTTTCAATTATTAAAAATGAAAACTTGTGAGTTTATGTTAGACATGAGAATGGAAGACATGTTAAAACAAGAAAATTCATTGAGCTACAGAGGACGGAAAAAAGAACTTGACATGATTTGGTTAAAAGAATCTGAAAATAACTGATAAGGACTGTACAGTCATGAGTCAGAGGTCAATAGTGTAAAATAAGGTCATGGAGGAGATGATAATCCCTAAAACTTGAGCATATAGCATTTGCATCTTGGACATAGAGGATGTAGTATATGTGGGAAGCTGTATGTGTTTGGTGGCACAGAACAAGGGAATGGAAAACACGAATTTTGGATAATGGACTGAAGTTTAGGAAGATCACTCCTCAGTGCTTGGGCTAAATAAAAATGTTCCCAAAATGCTGACAAGATGAAGTTGTGGCATAATAGGTATGAGAAGGTGTGGGAACTAGAAGGGATGATGAATGTCTAGTGAATTTCTCTATGTCATAGGGACAGAAAGATGGTGGATATAGATCATGTTTTGATAATGACTGCATGAGGATTCTGAATTAGTTTGTGACCGCAGATATTGGACTATAATGCAAAGAACTCCTCAGGCTTTATAGAGTACATTTGATAAATTCCAGCTGCTCTGAGTCCAAGTACCTCCTATGCTTAGTTATAGACAAGATGATAGCTGCCACTATGCAATGGGTCTTCTCAGAAACATGGGTGTTAGATTTTGAACTGTCTGATACATATGAGCCTGTCCTTGGAAATAGCCATTTGTAGAGACTCATATTACTGTATAATTAATATCCTATAATATAAGACTTAATAGAAAACAATTGCCACGTTATGTTCTAATATCCCCTGGGTAACAGTGTAGGAATGTCCAGATGGGGAGAAACTGTAG